CCAGTGCAGGTACCTGAAGACTTCTATAATGAAAAACATATGAATTCTTTAAAACTATCACTTTTGCAACTCTTTGTAACTCCAAGTTAACACTGTATATTATGTTTCTTAATGCTCATGCAAAATGATAAATTTGCATGATTTGCTTGTAAAGTAGGCAAATTTCCAAATGTTGCAGATATCTCAGCCTTGAAACTGAAGCAGAGTAAAGTGTTTCATCTGTTATGCTGAACATGACTATACGTGGGAGCAGAGTTGCACCTCCTGTCCTGTTCTCTATCAGTATTTGGCATCACAAGGTAAAGGAGATGCCTGTACAAGTGTTTAATTGTGAGTTTTTCATGCGACTGGGGTCTTTGATTAGGCTGGGTCCTGGACTGAGCATACAGAGCTTACATCTGTACCACATTTGCTCATTGGCATTTTCAATGGCTTAACCTGAATGGACATAAAGGGCAGGGATGAAGTCAGCAAGAGCGCATGCGGCTCTCTTCCCGCCACCCTCCAGGTGCCATCAACGTCAATAGTCAAAGCATATTAGTCATTACAGTGAATTAAGTATTTAATTGATTTCAGATTTTGAAGACTCAAATTTGACTTTGTACACTTGGATCTGTTGTTTCTCTACCATTTCAGAATGGACATAATCTCTTAACTATAATAATATTTTACAACAGCCTCTTGTTCTCAGAATAGAGCAGGGAAGGATGGGTTTTTCCCAACTTTATGAAGACAGATCCAATCATTCCAAGAATCATGCTTAATTAGAAACCTAATTATATAATAAGCAAAGAAAATGTATCTTACATACCTGCATTTTGGGAATCACACCTCCCTTTTAATTTTAAATATGCTTCAGAACGATGTTTGCTAAGTCAAAACAACTATGAAGCCCCTGGAAGAAAAGACAATGGTGAAATGTGAAATCCTGTTTCCTCAGCAGGGCTAATTTTTCAGCAATTAACTCTTCCTTCTCCTGTCCTGTGGTTCCCACAGCTCCTGTGCAATCCCTTTCATCATTTGGAATCCATGGCAGCCGTAGGAGGAGGAAATCTCTAATTACTGGAAATTGCCACCACCACAATGACATTTGTGGTAGTGTCAATCTTTGGTACCTAATTAGACTTCCTCCTCCTATCCTGCAGCTCCCACAGCTTCCAGGCGGTGAGAAGAACTACAGTGGCGCCGTGGGACAGAAGTAGGAAGTGTTTAATTTTCTTTTAAACATCACCCCTGTTGATGACATCAACCATGGTCCTCAGGCATAGTTTTGTAAACAGGCTTTCAGCAGGATGACATACAACTATCAAAAAGAAGAATTACTTTCAACAACAGCAAAATAAAAATAAAAAATAACCAGAGTGCATTCCAATAAAAATCAGCAATGTACAAACATGCAACACGACATTTAACAGCAATATCAATAACATTTAACCCGCCAAATACTCTTTTTTTTCCTGGGGGATGTCATCCCTTGGCTTGGCTCCAAGGAAAGGCACCAGTGTTTAGAGCCAGAGAAAAGGAACGAGAATCAGTAGAGGGAGACCTAAATTAATAAAGCACGGCTTAACTAAAGAGACATGCTGTATCTATTACTCAGCATTAGAATGACTCATTCCTCTCCTCTCTCCCACTCTCTGAAATGTGATTCCATTAATTTTTCTTTTTAATTCTCATCCGCTTTAGTTCTTTCAGTGCCAGCAAGATGTGCTTCCCTGATCAGTCTCACCTTTGCCAGAATGACAACCCCCTCCAGAACAGGTTTGACATAATTAGTGTGAACAGACAAACCACCTGCTCACAGAACCTCCTTTCTGCGGAAACTGAATTTCACTTTGTAGCTCCTCATCCAGTACCTTGCTAATCCAGGTCAACATCTTTATTCAGATCTAGGCAGTGGAAGACAGGAGGGCCTGGCGTGCTCTGGTCGATGGGGTCACGAAGAGTCAGACACGACTAAACGACTAAACAACAACAATGGTAAAAAAAAGAGATAGCACTGAGCACACTGAAGGCTCCTCATCAGCAGAGTCCTCTATCATCACCTTCTAAAACTGGCCCTGCAGGTAGATGCAAAACTACTAGCCTTTAAAGCCCCATGCAGTCATTCATACTTTCTAAGGAAGGTCTAAATGTTGGGGTTGGGGAATGTGTGTGTGTCCACCAACCCTATCTCCAGTGTCCCTAGCATCTCAGTTTGTGACCTTCGTGTATTAAGAGCCCAGAGCTGAAGGGAGTTCTACTTTATATTTGCTTTAATGTGAATACCCATTCACAACTTCCTTAGTGGGTTGATAAAACAATGCTGAGCATAGGGGACTTAGTGGTGTGTATATACCCAGGTCCTCTCTCATGTTTAGCCCTCACATGAGCAGATTGTCACTCTGCATAATATTCATTCATTAATTCATTCATTCATTGTGTTGATATCCTGCCTTTCTCCTAGTGAAGGGATTCAAGGTGGTGTACGACAACAGAACATTGCATATGTTTAAAATCACAGTACATTAAAATATTAATATTAAAATACAATTAAACCTGATCGATGTTGGATCCCTTTTTGGGAGAAAAGCATATAAATAAAACTAATAAAATAAAGGTTAAAAACATCACTAGTTTAAAACAAAATAAAAGAAATATAAAACATGTGATAAAAACATGCCGCATCCCCTACAAAAACTGCAATTCTGCCAAGGCATTCACAGATCAAAAGCTGGTTTTAAAAGGAAGGTTTGCTCCTGCCTTCCTCCATCTGACCATTAAACTTCTCTAAAATTCCTGTCAAAGGGCTATAAACACAGAGAAGCCATCCAGTGGAATAGCATGGTCAATGGTATCAAACAGGATGCCATGGAAGAATATGAAGGTAAATGGTATTCAAAGTCACTGAGAGGTTAAGAAGAATTATCAAAGTTGTTGTTCTCCTGTTTTAGGTCATTTATTCTTTTTAGGATTCAGTTACTGCACCAAAAACTGAAATCAGATGGAAATTGCTGCAGATAATCAACCTCATTGAAGAGCACATGTTATTATTCAGCTCTCTTACTCAAGTGCTTTGTACAAGAAATAAAAGAATAGGAGGAAATATTAGTGACTAATGACTGATCCTTACAAGGTCTGGATTCCAGTGGGAATTTCTTTAAGATCAGCCTCAGAAATGCTTCTTTCAAAATGCCCTCAACTACCCCTCCTCTTATGGAGGTATCCATCTCTTTCTGGATCCAGCTGGCCATCAAAATCTGTTTTTCCTGAAAATGCCTGCCAAAGTAGTGGCTAGCAGATTAACCTGTGAACTGAGAAGCCCCTCATTCAAATCTAACCTCAGCCTAGATACTACTAGGCGGCTGTAGGTATGCTGTTATCTTTCCACCTGAGACTAAACAGCTGCAGTATGAAGATAACAATAGTATTGAATTAGATTAGCTTACAGGTCAACTGATTTACTGCAACAGTGTTAAAAACATAGAGGCCTATATAGGCATGATGCACAAGACTTCTTTCATATGTGTCTAGCTAATACTTAATTGTGCTGTTGCTTTATTGATTCAATTGCTGTTTTATGGCATATTCTACTACTGTAGGTTCTGAATTTAATTTGCATCGTAAACCACCCTGGGATGAATATTGCTAAAAATTGTACATAAAAGGGTTAAACAAACAAAATAAATGCTACATTACATTGGTCAATCTAACTTTTAGCAATCAGCAATGGCTCTATCTTTCCTAACCTTATAGGGGAGAGATACTCAATGGATATTATATATTTGCTTAGGAAAATCTGTTTTTCTCCATAAAGCCATCTGTGCTAAATGTAACGTGGTGCAACAGAAATGCTGATGGAAGCTTAAAATGGTTGCTGATGCAGAGTTCTGATGCTTGCTTGGATTTCTGTTTCTGTGTATAAAAGAGTTGCCTGTTGTCCTTGGATCAATACTTCATATTGTAAGCTGAGCCTAATGACAATTTGCGTCCTTAAAAGTAGCACAGATTTTTGAAATAAATTGAAAACAAGAAGAAATCAACATTTTTAAAAGTTAGGTACGTAAGTAGAAACGAATGTGCATTTATACCTCAGTTTTCACTCCCGATTATGTCTGCAGATCTATTAGGAAAAGACATGAAAGCAAACATGCCGTATAACCAATGTTTCAGAAAACGGAAACAAGAAAATATAAATGACTGTAACGTATCTCAAATGTGAAAACTCAGATTTCCATGATATAGAGAATGTGGAAAGTGAAAGAAAATGTCAGATGGTTTTATCAAAGCAGAATTTTGAGTCCCAAAATCAGACACTTGCTGAAAATACATTACAGAAAAACTAATCCAACTCAGCCTGTTGGTGTCAAATTTAGAACACAAATGTGTCTCTCTCTTATTTAAATATGAGTGAAATACTTTGAAATTCCAAACACCTAAAATGCCAGAGAAAGCCCTTAATTAACAATTTCCTGGTTTGCAGGAGGTACATCTCTCCCAGCTCTCTCAATATAATGCTGGCAGACTTTCCTAAAGCACATTTGCATTTAGACAAAGGTGTCCTGATTATACGGAATTGGTTTTCAAAAAGAGTGGACACTGATGTTTAAAGAAGCCCTAAATATTTCCTGCAAGACTTAACATTTTTAAAATGCCCAGACTAACAGACATATATTAGTGTGAGCTTTTGTGTATTGCTACTCACTTCCTCAGACTCATGATTACTGCTTTTGGGGTCTCCATAAACATAAGGGCACAAGCTGGGCAAGTATAGAAAAAGATGTGAAAAAGAGTGGGATGAAGAGGGGGGTTATTGCTGCTGCTCAATACAGACAAACACCAACAGAAGGCTGACTAGAGGCAGAGACGGAGACCGGAAAAAGCCATGTTTTTGCGAAAATAGCAGATGGGCTATTGAAATTGTGGCAGGAGGATTCAAAAGTGGGTCTGATATGATTGGGGAAGCCTTCATTAAGCTGTGACATGAATATAAAAATGATGTTGTTTGACATTCAGCTTGCCTTGCTTTATTGAAAGAACATCAGAAAAAAATTAAAGAGTTTTTCCTGAAATGCGCACACACACACATAATAACAAACAATGCTCCAACAATCAGTAGAAAGTAGCACCATTTCCATTTTACATATGGACAGTCCAAGCGCTCATTTGCATGGCTCTCCGTGAATGAACGGATCCCTTATTCATGAAGGCCAAGCAGTTAGATTCTCCTTTGATCTTGCTATCATTCAGTTCTCTTCCTCCAGCCCAATAGCATCAGATGAGGTTGATCCGTATGCTGCATAGGAAGGAGGTTGATGAACCCCTAGGACAAACAGTTAGTTGTTGAATTAGTGTTCCTAGCTACAGAAGCACAAAATCTATTTTATTTCAGCGGACACAAATCTCATCATCTTGTATTCATCATTTATTTAGCACTTTTATACCTTGTGTTCCATGACAAAATTCAAGGTGACATAGAAAGGTTTCTTGCTCAGATAGTGATATCCTAATTTAACCTTGCTTAGCTACAGCAAAGAGACCATATAATGTGGAAGACTACATAGCAGCACAGAGAGCCCCTCCTTGGGTTGACACCATGCACCAGGTACTAAGCACAAGGTTTTTGGATTTTTATCCCCCACTACTGCTTTCAGCAGGTATTTCCCCAACTAGAATTCTGATAGCTTTAGTTCACAGAGAAGTTTCAAGATGCACATGTGTTCCTTCCAAAAGTTTTCTCTGTAGCAAGAGGCAGCCATTAAGCAAGGAGAAGAAGGAAATGGCTGGAGCTTTCTAAGCTTCATAGGAACTGCGAAGTGTTACCAGACGGTTGTCTGTGTGTTCATCAGGCTCTACAGAGGGCAACTCTCAAAAATGTCCCCTAATTTGCACTGGGGAAAGGAGAAAAATGGGGGATATATACAAAATATAATCATAGGCTAGGCATATAGTATATTAATATAAGTTAACCTTATGTCGAGACAAGATTTAATTGGGAATTGGCATTTGCAGAATGCACATCTAAACTAATTTGAAGAAATCTTCTCACCACTGAATAATGAATGGTGTACGTTTATCTTTCCCTCCTGGAAGAACAACTCTTTTAGTGACTGTAAGGGCTCATCAAATATATCCATGCCAGTCACCAGTTAAGTTCCAAGCTTCAGAAACATCATTTAGAAGAACATGCATGTCTAGAAATAGAAAGGATTTTTCTAACAAAGCTAAGTCATTACAATACATCCAACCAAAAAGAGACCACCACTAGACATGCCCAGATCATAGGCCTTGATGAAGCACTGGCTACAGCACATCACAAATATTTAGTTGAAGTGGTCAATTTACTTTTAGATCATCAAAGAGGTGTCATGCCTGAGAGGTTAAAATGAGGCAGAAGTGTCCCGTTATTGGTGGGAAACAGCTTGGTTAGTGGAAATAGAAACAACTGCTCCAGTGGTGTTCCTGAGAGCAGCAGGCCTTAAAACAGGGCATTCAGGAGTTTTTCTGTTCCTGGAGGTGCCATGCCTGAATGGTTAAAATGAGGGAGAGCTGACCTTTTGCTGGTGGGACAGAAATAAATAAAATATTTTTAATGTGCCTCAGAGCCAGGTCCTTGCAAAATTAGACAAGGTCACTATGTTCTGGGTGGTTTGAACAAAGCACATGATGAAGCGGGGCTGCAGATCACAAAAGCGAATAGCATAATTAATATCTTACTTTTGAAGTGCCACATGATTCAGTTAATTGCCCCAAGACTGTTGTTTTGGCTGCAACAGACAGGGCCATCTCTCTAAAAAGTGGAAGGTATTTTCACTCTGCAAAAGTATGATCCTGAGCGTGTACTTACAGAGACACTCTCTCAATGATGAATTTCTGGGCTAGCACTATTGCATTACAGCAATTCCCGCATTCCATTAAGTATTGCTCAGCCTAGCCTGACAAGCAGCTTGGCTGCCATATCGACTTGTCTTGCAGCTGTGTGAACAGCTTGCACTTTGGAGCAGTATTTTGTGTGTCTAGGACAGGGAACAGCCAAAAGCCAAGGTGAGACTTCACAAAGTTAACTGAAATGTGATCAGCTGAAGTATTCAGTGATCTAAATGTTAATGGATGAAACTTGGAAGCTCAGATAACTAGAATATTGAGTGCCCATTCTTTTCCTATGCAACATGACATGGTCAGGATGCCCCATGTACTGTACATTGTTGAAGATGCTTGCTAAATGGCCTTGGAAAACTGATGAGGATTAGCTACTAAACACCCCACCTGCTGAGTGGGAACTGAAGGAAACAATTTAACAGTACTGAATGTAGACAACCAGAGTAAAAAAATGGAGTGTCATTCAGAAATTTGAGTAGGGAACAACCCACTCCATACCCACTCATTGACATGTCCAACAGGTCATGAAAGCTCATACACTGTGATGTGTAATTGAGTCCATATAATGCATATTTCAAGCCTCTGTTGCTTTTGTTGTAACAGACTAACATAGCTTTTGAGGAGTATGAGTTGCTGCATTGTGGGGAACTGATGCTCATTCAAAGACTTGTTTTATCTAATAGTTTTCTGGTACATTATACATGGTACCTAGCATGGTGCAGTGGATAGAGTGATGGACTAACACTTGAGACACCTGGGTTTGAATCCCTGCTGAGCCATAGGAGTTCACTGAGATGAGTTCCACTCACAAAATACCTCACTTACCTTGAAAACCCTGTTAGGGTCACTCTTAAGTTAGTTGTAACTTGACAACACATAACATAGTGTTACATACAGCACTGATGTTACCTGTCTGTCATGGGTTTGGAGGGAAAGTTCCATCCTATGGGGAGTGGAAGGCGGGACATCAGGAGGAGGGGCTGTACTGTATAAATATGTGATGCCTGGGTGGTGAGAGAGGAGAAATAAAGAGACACTGGGAAGTGACGAAGCAGCAGCTGGGAAGAAGAAGCTGTTGTGGGAGTCTGTGTGTCAGACAGGGTACTTCTGTGTGTCAGAGTACCAACCTGATAGGTTCAGGTGTCTGTTGGTTAGCCAGAACTGATAGGTTCAGGGTCTGTGCTTCAAGTTAAGGGTTCTGGGTGAACCAAACTGTATGCTTGTATGAGTGAGAATAAGCCACGTTACTTTATCCTATTCACCTGATTGTTTATTTTTCCCTGTGTGTATTTAAAATATGAATCCCTGCTGAGCCATAGGAGTTCACTGAGATGAGTTCCACTCACAAAATACCTCACTTACCTTGAAAACCCTGTTAGGGTCACTCTTAAGTTAGTTGTAACTTGACAACACATAACATAGCATAACAACATAACTTGTAAAGATAATTACCAGATAAATACCAGACAGAGTAGGTGAACTTGAACACATAGGAAGGTTCTATCTCCAAGTCCCATTGGCCTTCCACAGTGACCTACCAAGGATATATGATGGAGGATCCCTTCAGTAGAGAACTGCCTTCAGAAACCACGGTTCCCAAGAGCAGAAAGCGGGATGTATTGTGAAAGGTGGTACCTAAAGGAGGTTATAAAAGACATATTGTCCCAGGTGGAAAGAAGGAAGACCTGGAGTAGGAGAGAGAGGAAGAGAAAGAAAGTGAGAACAAAGATTGGGCTGACACTCCAGAGTGGAGGAAAAAGAGCCTCCTCTTTATGCTGGTATCGCTGCCTTTGAAGGGAGTCCTCCTCTAGGCTATGTCATTCCCTACTCCTTATTGAAGAGACTCAAAGTCGTGCCTGGAGTGCATCTGGGGCATCATGCAGGACTGAAGTCAGCTCAGGAGTCAAGTCTGCTAGAAAAAGGAAAGACCCTGTGGCTGAGTCTACTCCAGTTCAATAGAATTGCTAGCCCCACCAGAGACAACTCAAGAGGCTGTGCCAAATGGCCAAAGACAGAACAGAGGGAAACCTGATGGCATATATAAACCAGGACCGATTTATCGGACTGTTTGGGAATGGGGCAAGGTGAAGGAAACTTCGCCCCTGTCTGCCAGGGAGTGACTTAGTGGAGCGGAGCTCATTTCCCCCCAAAAGCATACTTGGCTGTGAATTAGATGATAGAGAGAAAGGATACATGTGACTCTTTGAAGGTGGAAGAAATGTGTAAATTCAAAAGCATACTTGGCCATGAATTAAATGATAGAGAGAAAAGATGCAGTACATGTAACTCTTTGAAGGTGGAAGAAATGTGTAAATATAGTTTCAAATACATGTTGCCTTGTTGAACTGACAATTACTCTCGAGTTTTCTTTGAGGTGGCACATGACAGTGGGTTGTCTTTCTTGGTCCCCATCCCTATGGACGAGGAGTACCCCTTCTCAAGCAGAATGAGTAGGAAACCAATCTGTAGGAGGTTGCCCCTGAAACTTCCTACCACTAAAGAAGTGGGAGTGTTAAATTTATGCAGATATTTGTAACATTTAGACAGCAGATCAGCAGGGGGTGGGAGGAAGAGGGGGAGAATCCCAAAAGACCACCCTGGATGTTTCCAATTATGCTGATTCATTCTGGTTTCCAAATATGCAAATGCAGACGTTAAACAGAATGTTTAGGTATTTTGCATTCATGGTAAAATTTTTAAGGGGCATAACAACCAATATACTTTATCTATGGCCTATTTAAGGCTCAAAACCCCCATTACAGTATCACTCCTTCTCCCTCCTGACCTCAGTATATCAGCAAGTTTTTCCCAAGCTTCAAATTTTGCTGCTTGAATTATAGAAAATGCTTAGTCATTGATATCAGCTTTGAATTTTGTGAATGCTGAAAGAAAGACTCAGCACTTTGCCAGGATGCTGTGGATGCCCTTGATAGATAGTTAAGAAAATGAATTGGCCCTGTTCCTAAATAAACCCTTCTCAGTATGTTGTGGCACAGTGGGTAGAATGTCACACCAAGGACTGTGAATTTCCAGCTAAACTACCCACCCAACCATGAGTAGGAACCCATAAAACTGAATCGCACATGATTTGGATAAATTACCACCATCTCTCACCAACCTCATAAGGTTGTTTTGTGGATTAAACACGCACAACCTGTTTGTGTTACTTGCACCTATTTAAAAGGGAATTAGAGTGTTTGTTGGTTTAATTTTTATACTGCCCATATGGCTGAGGCCACTCTGGGTGGTTTACAACATATAAATACAACAAAATACAATTTAACATAACAAAAAATAGAAATAATAAAATAAGCAGTAAAGCTATGGAAAAACTATAGCTGCCTGCTTTTTTCCACAACTTCAATCAAACAACAGGAAACACTCAATATTTCCTTCTGAGAAATGTGTCCCTTTTCCCACCGGCTTATGAAAAAAAGTGTCCTTTTCAGTTAAGCAAAGATGCCCTACTTCCTGTCAGAGAATTGCCTCACAAATTTGAAACACCTAGGTTTAGTTATTGCCATCAATGTTATTAAAGGTGGGGAAGTATGGGAGAAATTGGCACTCAAAAGGGAGGATGTGGAGGATTTAGTGAATATTCTACCTCAGAGAGATATTGCTCAGAGCTATGCTGTCTTGTTATGCAAAGCGATTACTATGGAAGGTAAGGGCCAATCTGAGCTTTCTTTAAAGGTATGATCACACTTACTTTGGCTCCCCTGCTGTAGGTGTAGAAAGTGGAGTTGAAATCAGTCTTCTATAATGAGTCAGAGTTTATTGCTCTCTCCTTTATAAGTGCTGTGGTAAATATGCATCTTATCAACAACTTCAGAACTGGGTTCATCTGAGAAAGAAGGAGTACCAACCAGCAGAGTTTCATAGCTGACAACCAGGGTCCCGCTGGCCATTGCCACCATAACACTGTCCTTGTATTGCTTCCCTACAATTGGGCAAAAACATTTTTTTATTCCAAGTTGTATGTATGTATGTATGTATGTATGTATGTATGTATGTATGTATGTATGTATGTATGTGTGTGTGTGTGTGTGTGTGTGTGTGTGTGTGTGCGTGCGTGCGTGCGTGCGTGCGCGCGTTTGTTTGTTTGTTTGTTTGTTTATTTATAAAATAATTTCCTATCATGTTTGTTTCTGGAGCCTCATACACTGGTAAATACTGTGCGATTATTTAAAAGGCATCCTAAAGCTCTGCTTGTCATTTCTTGAAGCACATCCACCTCTAGAGGCTGCACCTCTTACAGCCCATGAGGAGGAGTAAAATTGTTTCAGGAGGTGGAAGAAAGGACTAGTTGGGAGTTGAAAATGACTCCTCTGAATCTCAACACTAGGTTACAATGGGTAAGAAAGCTGTGGGGGTTAGGGTACCAGCTTGGGGAACCCTACATTAAGCTTTTAAAATTTTTCCTCAGATGCTTGGAATCTTTAATAGGGATGACACATATTTTTATCATGTCCTTTAAATTTGCTTTAACAGTGTTGTTTTTAACATTATTTCATTTTAATCAGATTCTAATATCTTAATTTACTGTCCCCCTTCTTGGATACACACCTTAAGGTGATGAGGGGAGTTGAGAGCAACACCATCAGGAGGCTAGATTCCATTATGAACCTGGACTCCTGGCAGGGTCACGAAAAGCAGAACATTCACAACTGAGGCACCAGACTAAGAGGCATCCACCTTCACCAGGAGTCATGGCTGCATCAGCGGAAGAGAACTGATACTTCCAATAGTGATGGGAGCAGAGAAACCTCTGGAGGGCAGCTATTGGGCATCAGTGGTAGTTGAAAATGATACTGACAGAGGATCTTTTATAGACAAGGGCAGTGTTACTCAAGTTAACTTTCGTTAGTAGTACACAGAAGAAAGCAATGGCAAACCACTCCTGAAATTTTCTTATCTTGAAAACCCTATGATGAGACATTTCAAAATGAAACAAGAGATAGTGCTGGAAGGTAAAACTCCCAGGTCAGAACACACTGAGTTAGCTACTAGGAAATATCAAAAGACAAGTATGAACAGCACTGTTACTAATGATGGAACTAGATTAAATCTGAAAGAATGTCTAGTGGCTAACATGCAGAGAGGTGAAAGAAAAGTCTGGTGCTGCTTTACTAAAGCTGAAGAGCACAAAAAAAAATTCTAGTGCCAAAATATAATCTAAACAACATTTCTGATTAATTTAAAATCCACTTAAAGAACAGATTTACATTACTAAACTCAACTGATCAAAACCAAAACAGTAGATTGAAACCAGAGATATTATTAGGGAAGAATGCAAAAAACAAACAAACAAACAAAAAACTTCTTCAGCACAACTTCCATTTCAGAGAAGGCAAGTCATTTCCCCAAATCATGCCTCCCTAATAAAAAACAGCACACATATATACCCTTTCACTTCTTCCTGTTCTCTATTTTCTTTCTTTCCCTCAGTCCCTTGGCCAAATACTCTCCACGACCAGCTTATATTGCTTATCTTCTTCCTTTCACCGGGTCATAGGTGAACAGCTAGCTTGTGCCAACCATCCTCAGAACCCACATGTTCCTTCTGAGGGAGTCTAACTGGAACATCTTCTTGCCTTTGCTTCTCCTGCCTAATAAACCTGTTCCCTCAGTTATAATTAGTGTTCTCATTGGAGAAGAGATGAAACAGTTCCAGCTGAGGTCAGTTCTTCTCCTTCTCCTTCTCCATCTTCTTCTTCCTCTTTTCTGATGTTGCTGGGCAGTCACAATGTGAAGAGGGCCTGAGAAAATAAAGCAGGTAAGAGTAAACAGAAACTGGTAGCTATTACAGTTTACACTTCTGGTACACTTCTGTCAACATACTAGCACCTGCAGACATTGTGTTGTGGGCTCTGCACCACATGTAATAGGTCTGACTATGATGTGGCTTATGTAGTTGCTGCTATTTATACTGTGTACACCTGGAACCATCTTGTATACACCTGGAACCACAGCAAAAGCAAGCTACCGCCAGTGAAGTTCGTTTTTTGATAGCTTCTCATCCCTTTAGGGAGTTCGTGTTAGTGGAGCTCCAAAAGACAACAGGTAGCAACAATGCCAGTGTTGATGTGGCTAACTTAATGGTGTCCCCTCCCCTATATATAAATTTCTAGGACAAATACCCCCATTGACCCTTCTTACAAAGGTCTTTTACAGGTTCTGTGACCTGCAGAAGAATTTAGCCAAAGGTTTTTTGGGTCCTTGTGGTAAGGTTAAGGTTCAAATTTTTCTTCTCTGGACAACCTGTGCTTCTCTGAGGCTTTCTGGTGGATTGTTTCATGTGAAATATGTTGTGCTATGGAGCAATTCGAATGCTGAAGGAAAGGCTTAGGTGATATCCTGCACCCACCAGATTCCACATAATAAAAAGGCCAACTGAGCTGACAGTTGAATCTTGAATTGGAAAAAGAACAGCAGCAATCCTGAGGGTATCAGGCTAGTTTAGAGGCTGCAGAACTGTTTGCATAGCAAACATGCTACTCTGTCCTTCAACATCATGCCATTGTTCCATGTTCCCCAGCATTTACCTTACTCTGGCTTAGGGTAGGGTTGGCCCTCAGTGGATACTGAAACAGGAACCTAGGAAACGGTCTTATATTGAGTCAGTCTTTCAATCCCTCTCCCTGAGTTCTTTTATTACAAGCAAGTTTCCCAG